TGTGAGCAGACTCTTATTCTGAAGAGTATCTGTGAGCTTTATTTTGAAGCTCCAGGTTCAAACCTCTTCCTGTTTCCTGTCTCTGACTGAATCCTCAGCCCAGACCCAACACTCAGTGCCACCCCACACTCTAAGTGTGGAGTCAGTCCAAGTAAGTGTTGGGTTGTAAGTGTACAAAACGATGAAGATTACATCATCGACTTGTGTGTCTGTGTTGTAACACAACCAACACGGAGGAACAGTCACTGTTTGGCTTTTGTGTTGCTAAAAATGATAGAACCACAAAAACACTGGTTTTTAGAAGAAGAAACATGAAGGAGGCTGATTCTTCACAGAACCAACGTCTGTAAGTTCTTCTCCTGGTTTATTGGTGCTGAGCAGACTGACACTGTACTGACCTGCTGCTCAGAGGACAGGGACAGAGACAGGGACAGGGACAGAGACAGGGACAGGGACAGGGACAGAGAGGGACAGAGATAGAGACAGGGACAGAGACAGGGACCTGTGGGGGCAGCCATGATGGAAACAAAGCATGCTGGGTAATGTAGAGGACAGGAACAGAGACAGGGACAGAGACAGGGACAGAGACAGGGACAGGGACAGAGACAGGGACAGAGACAGAGAGAGGGACAGGGACCTGTGGGGGCAGCCATGATGGAAACAAAGCATGCTGGGTGATGTAGAGGACAGGAACAGCATCACATCAGACAGAAACACAGAGTAAAAAATAAGCCTCAGACAACCGACTGAGTGAGACAGAGAGACAGATCAGAACTGAGGGACAAACTGAGGGACAGATCAGAGAACGTGACCCTGGAGCAGCAGGAGGTTCTGATGGTTCTATGGAGGAGAAATGAGGAGTAAAATATCACTTCCTGTTTGAAGATAATAGAGGAAGCATCAGTCCTGCAGCAGAGACACTGAGGACAGAGGACAGGCTGAGGACAGAGGACAGGCTGAGGACAGAGGACACACTGAGGACAGAGAACAGACTGAGGACAGAGGACAGGCTGAGGACAGAGGACACACTGAGGACAGAGGACAGACTGAGGACAGAGGACAGGCTGAGGACAGAGGACACACTGAGGACAGAGGACAGACTGAGGACAGAGGACAGAACGAGGACAGAGGACAGGCTGAGGACAGAGGACACACTGAGGACAGAGGACAGACTGAGGACAGAGGACAGAACGAGGACAGAGGACAGACTGAGGACAGAGGACAGGCTGAGGACAGAGGGCAGACTGAGGACAGAGGACAGGCTGAGGACAGAGGACAGGCTGAGGACAGAGGACAGGCTGAGGACAGAGGACAGGCTGAGGACAGAGGACAGACTGAGGACAGAGGACAGGCTGAGGACAGAGGGCAGACTGAGGACAGAGGACAGGCTGAGGACAGAGGACAGACTGAGGACAGAGGACAGACTGAGGACAGAGGACAGGCTGAGGACAGAGGACAGACTGAGGACAGAGGACAGGCTGAGGACAGAGGGCAGACTGAGGACAGAGGACAGGCTGAGGACAGAGGACAGACTGAGGACAGAGGACAG